GCCGATATTATGTATGATGTTCAGTTGGGTATCCACATATTGAAAATGACTTTATTAAATCGAAACTCTTGATTTTGAAAGGATTATACGTTTTGAAATTGAATAAATAGTGCAGCACTGAATATTTCAGTAATCAAATAATAGTTTTTCTCTTTTTGCAGATGATGAAAAGTATTATGTCGTCATAGAAAAAATGCATATTAATGAAGGTACTCCAGTATTCTTGGAGGCAGGCATACAAATAATTTTATGCTTCCTTCTCCGTATTCAACTTGAAATATTCAGAGGAGGCACCGTCCACCCTTTAACTGATTCAACGATATTTCATGAAAACCCACCCTAATGATGGGACGAAGGCATCAAACAATTCAAGAAAAAATGGAGTGATTCGGTTTATGAAGAGTTTCTCCACAATTTTGTAACTGTAAGATGCTGTAAGTATCTATTTCTCCTATCCTCTATCAATAATTATATGTAAAGATATAGTATCAGTTGAAAAAATATTATGTTAAGCTATTAAGCTATAGATATGGTGTAGTGATCAAAATTCTAATAATATCTATATATGAATCCATATTTTATTGAAAATTGAATTGAATTTCATTGTCTCATGATGAAACTCAATGAGTGTTCATCACATTTGTTCTGGAAAAGTTTTTAAATTAAAGAATCCAATAACGAATCCGCGTGATTAGAGATCTACAGATGAAAATTTCCATCGTTCAAGTTCGTCCTGTTCAATTTTATTGAATTCAGTCTTGACTATTTTATGGATTAACAAGGCGGTAGAGGTTTTTGCTTGGTGTATAATATAATTTTTTTTTAGGACAATCGCCCTAAATAGGAAGACTCAAAATATTCTTCAGAGAAAAAAAAATATTTATATATATATATATAGTCTATATAGACAAAATGTACCTGTAATGAAATAAATATGTATAAATTCATGATCAGAATCATTTTGCAACCTTCTGCTTCATCATTATGAAATTCCATAGCAAATTTACATTTCAGTATATTTTGCAATTTAGAAAATCAGATGTAAAATTCAATTGTGAATTCGAATAGAATGTGAAAAGTACACAGCATATTTCCAGTGCAAAATTTTGGTGGGAACTGATATTACAATGTGAAGTTCCATCGTGAAATTATGTCACAACGTATAATTACACCGAAGAAGTACACAGAGTTATCCAGAGTAAATTTACGAAGTGATATTACACGTGATATGCAAAATTCCAATCGAAGGTAGATTCTCGTTAAAAAGGGCGGTAATCAAATTGCCGCTACTGAGAGCGGAAAAAATTCTCCCAGTGTAGATGCATACTTACAGGTTGTTTCTAAATGAAAGCCTACACTCGAATTAAAATATTTCTCATTCAATTTTTAGGAAGAGAGCCGTTTGTTTGCTAGATCTGCATGGAGCTCGATGTCAAATATCAAATTCAAAAGAGTTTTATGCCAACTATTTGAGTAGAAAAAAATGTTCCTTTTAGAAGTAATGAAAATTGATGTTGGCAGAATGATGTTACTAGTAACTAGTGGACCAGTTTTGTGTATATTCAGATTTCAGAGTCCTTCCGAGGTGCAAGAAACTAGAGCTAAGGATAATGACAGAATATTCTCTCTGTTACTATCATAATGTGAGTTACTTATATAGGATAATATATGTATATAATACTTTCATGCAACAAAACATGTTTCATTCTTTATTTAAAACCCATTCCACATACAATTTTTTAACCAACAATAAAATTGGAAATGAAGTATTGTTAGAAATTCACTGAGATGTAGTACGAACAGCAATAAGTTATTGCAATGTTAGTTTTTAAAACTTGTGAGTCTATCAACAAAATATAACAGAAAATACACCATACAGATAATGCCCAACGACGCTAAGCTATATGATGATAAAGTGATACCAGCAATTAACTCTATCAAGAGACTGTTGTTGAAAACAAAAAAAAAAAGGGTATAATGATGTCATCAATTCATTATGACAACGAAAAAACTTTGTCTTGAGTTGCCCAGCGAAAAACCGGAACCTAATAGCTTTTGATACTATGACAACCAGAATTGTGAACGAATCTTAGACGGCGTTTATGTCAATCTTTCTCAATGTCGCGTTGTCAGAATAGTTCATAATCTTTAAGTCGCGATTTGAAGTGGAGAAATCGAATAATCTTTCAACAATAATGTGATTTACGCACTCCTCAAATTGTTTTACCGAATTACACTCAAGCATTTTTTCAGGTCGGAGTAAACTTGACATTCATAATTCAAGTTTTGTTGCCTTCAGGAAATTCAACTCAGAAACTGCCAGGAGAAATTACTCGTCTTACGGACTTTTTTCCAGGCAACAAAATTTTCATTGATATGTCAAGTTCACTTCGACTAAAAAAAGCTCTCGAGTAATTATTATAACTAGAACAAATAACACGTTGGGAAGGTTTATCGAAAATAATAAAGACAAAACTTCTATACTCGAAAAATCAGGGGTATACAAACTCAACTGTTGATCTTGTCCTAAGGTATATATATCGGTCAGACACACCGAGAAGAGTCCAGTTATATACATGTCTCTATTTAAAAACTTCTTATAACCGCCAAATGAAATATTTTAACCACGAAATGTCATCTGATGAACGTGAAAAGTTCACGTTTTCAACGTGAAACAGGTCACTTTTTCAAATCACTCTTTTTGTTTCAAAAAGGTTATCTTTTAAATTCGAAATGAGACAAGATTATAGTTAAAAGATGGAAATTTGAAGATAATCATTTAAATCCTGAAAGATGTCATTTCACAGTTATACAATTATCATTTAATTTCATCCCTTCTATCATTTTCCATCTTTGTCATTCTCGTTTACCTCAATGAGTCATCTCACTCACCTATGAACACCTTTTCGATGAGAATCGTTAGTCGTCTCCGGATTCCTGATATGAAAGGACATTTTAACTCGCGGCAGCTTGTGAACTCTTCTTGCAGAGTGATATTTTTTTTTCGAAAAAGTGAAGTGGTCGAGAGATCTTCTAGAAATATTAGGGACATATTTGTTCATATATCGCCCAAGATTTGTTGAGGAACTACAGAATGTTGAACTGCCTCTGGGCGTTATAGTGTTTTCACGATATATCGGTAAGTGTATGTATCGGAATGTCTTCCAAATTGGAAAAACTTTTATTTTTTCAACTCCCCTCACTATTCACTAAATGGCAGAAGATTGGATTTGAACAGTTTTATCGGTGATACATTGTATTGTGTATACATTGTGTCCCAGATTAATAATTACTATCATGGGGATCTCGAAAACGTCGTAAGGAAAGTCTTTCAACGCTCTTTTGTAAAGCTCAAGTGGCAATAACGGTAAATAAAATAAAACGAAATCTGCGAATGTGAACTCCAATTTACTGACGATACTGTGTAATTACATTTTTGGCCACTATGTTAACTAATAATCCAATGCACTGACAATGAGAACAAATAGTCCAAATTGGAAGCATATTTGTCCTACACAAACTGAGATATTGTAAACTGAGTATATCGTCCTTGTGATGCAGTTCAATGCCCTGTAGTTCCTCAAAAAAACTTTAAGTATATATACCAAGTATATATGTCTTCAATATTTCTCGATGAGTTTCAACCCACTTCATTTTTCTGGAGAAAAATTAATCATCCTAATACTGAAATACCATGCAATCATTCGACTATGGAATTGAAAGCTAATTATATTGATATGAGTATCATTTCATTTTTATAATATCACTATTCATTATTGAAATGCTTTTTATTTGACTATCAAATTGAAAACAAGTCAAATTTATATGAGTATCTTCTCATTTTTATAATATCATCGTATAGCATTGAAATGCTAGTCAATTGACCGCTATATGAGTGTCATTTCATTCTCATACAAGTGATATTTCACAGTTATAAGATTTTTTTGAAATGATAAACGTGATTACAGTGAAATGGGAACTATGCTGGCGCCTATTCAATTCAGAAATCTTGTAATGATTATACAATTTTGTATAACAGCTAATAGATATTTCTCTCGGTGCAGGTAGTGCGTTTAATCAGCGCATTCATGAACATAAGATGAATTTTTCGAAAAAGAAAACAAATTCAACATACGCCAACCATATATCAGAAAAAAAAAAACATAGTTTTGATGATAATTTCGGGATTCTACACGTGAAAAACAAAGAAATGAAACTCAATCATTTTCGATCATTTTGAATCATTAGAAATCAACAAACTCACGAATTTTAACATTTTAATTGACGATCAATTAGACCTCGATAGTTCACCACTGTTGAATTCGTTTTCTTAATAGATGATATGTATATGCTATAAACCATTTCAAGTTAATCCGGTACTCGATCCGGTACACCGTATTTTATTGTAGAGTTGAGTAGGAATTGACTGGATTCGTCTGGTCATGACTAGACTTCGCCCATTTGCTCTCGGTATTATTGTTTATTTTGTGAGGACAAATAAAGACAAATTATTATTATTATTATTATATTGTGCCTGATTTCCGAAAATGAAGGTTTATCGAACCTCCACAGGTAACTAATCCTTCAAGTTGTGAAAGTTGGATATATAAAAGTTAAGCAAGCCAAGGTTGGTTTAGTTTATTGTATAAATATCACCTGATGAAGCTTCTGTGTTAGCGAAACATGTGTGTTTAAGAATTTTGTGGAAATCTTATCGTTCGTGAAGTGTTTACATTTGCCATAGATTTCCATCAAGTAACGGCCGAGTCAATTCAAAAAATTATTATAATCGATTTCCATAAGTCATAGAGGGTGGAGATCTGTAAATTCTGTTGATATAGCCTTCTACGACATATGTTTACTCACTTCAAGAAACAACAATCGAAAGACGTTGTTTCAATTGTTGTTTCTTGAAATGCGTTTGACGCAGTATACGAAACAATCTGTATGGTGGTGAAAAAAAATCTGCGTAAGCCAATCAAACTCCATTTACTATTTACTTTTCTTCTGATGTTTCTGTTTGGGTGAGCCCACAGGGGTCCTTGGTAGCCTACACAAAATGGAGTTTTCTCCACCGCAACCACTACTCGAGTTCGTTAAACTCCTAGTCCTCGGCCTGAGTTTGAAGGAGGAGAACATGTTCAAACCGATCTGTTTCAACTAGTCACCGATCCATCACCAGTGTATTTACCCGCTCATTGTCACGAGCATATCGAAATCCACTCTAATGAATGATCTAAAATTAGTCTCGACTGGCTTTGTAAATCTTGAACTCTGGACGATAAAATAATTTAGTTCGCTTGCTTTATAATTAGCTGGAGACTGTAAACACACAACACGAGCACTGAAAAGTTTATTATTTCCACTTGCTAACAATCGAAATTTCACACGCGGATCTAGATATACATGGAACCAATCTTGAGAACTAGGTACAAGAAGAGAATCCACTTTGACGCGACTCTTCAACTGTTAGTTACATGGCTAGACCTGATCACTAGTTTAGTCGCACGTTGTTACTCGCGTCAGTCATAGCCAAAAGTGTTTATTTTTAACTTTCTCGGTTTAGAAGCTATACTGGTCTGGAAGGAACTAACAGGACGACGGGATAGGTGTGTTGGAACTAAGTTAAACTCTGTTCCATGCTCGAAACAAAAATTGGAGATATCTTATTTATTTTTTAAGTGTCATGTATTTGTATCACTGGCGTACCTAGAAAGTTTACTTGGAACAACTGGCAAATAACTATGGTAGAACATGAGAATCGAAACAAATCAATTCTTCAATCCGATTTCCTCACATGAAATATGATATGATGAAATGAGAGAATAAATGGCTAGGTACATGGACATTGACTTATTCACCTTAGAAGAGAAGCGATTGGATGTATGATTGAAAGAACCTTAACAAATAAAGACCAATCACCTCGATTCATATAGAAGATAGGTTGAAAGAAGAATGGCTATACATTCACATGGACTCACACCTTAGGAGGGAAAGAATTGAAAAAACATTGAATAACTCAAAAAATGTATCTTTGGTAGAAGTCCAAGGTTTCTCAAAGTGGCGTGAAGTTCTGAGAAACCATGAAGTACAAACCTGAATGCACTGTATACTGTATCATCGGATAAGTTGATGTTCGATAACTGTATGTACAGTTTTCGAGATACCGATCGTGTATGGCTTGTGCTTGTGCCTCATTTTATCCAAATTCTGATAGGGTTATCTTGAGTTTCACAAAACAGTAGGAGCGAAACGTGAGAACCACAAGGTTCAATCTCCAATAACAACCGAGAAACCTGGCAGTATAAACCTAAATGTGAATACTGGATATACAGATTGTGAGAAATAGATTCTTCCACCCTGTATGGCTTGTGCTTGTGCCTTGTAAACGGAAACAATTATCCAAATTCTGATTGGGTTATCTTTTCACAAAATAGTAGGAGCGAAACGTGAAAACCACAAGGTGTAATCTTCAACAACAACCTGACAGTATAAACCTGAATGCACTGTATTCTGTATGTACAGTTTTCGATGTATCGATTGTGGGAAATGATTTCTTTCACCCTGTACGGCTTGTGCTTGTGCCTTGTATCTCATAAACGGACACAGTTATGCAAATTCTAATTTAGTTATCTTGAGTTTCACAAAACAGTAGGAGCGAAACGTGAAAACCACAAGTTCCAATCGTCAATCAACCGAAAAACATGGCAGTATAAACCTAAATGCACTGTATACTGTATGTACAGTTTTCGATATATCAATAGTGAGAAATAATTTCTCTTACCCTGATTGGTTGTGCTTGTGCCTTGTATTTTTTAAACGGAAACAGTTATGCAAATTCTGATTGAGTTATCTTGAGTTTCACAAAACAGTAGGAGCGAAACGTGAAAACCACAAGGTTCAATCTTCAACCAACCGAGAAACATGGCAGTATAAACCGAAATGCACTGTATACTGTATGTAGAGTTTTCGATGTATCGATTGTGAGAAATAATTTCTTTCACCCTGTTACAATTCACAATATTATATCTTAGAAGATTGTAACTAATAATTATATAACGATAAACGATCAAAAACTTTTATTCAGATCACTGACATCAATCTGACAATAATTCAAAAAATTCTAATGACATCCATCACTCTCAGTTTCAATCACCAAAAAAATACAGGATGGTAAACTATTTCAATATTCAACATTCTTCAAACTCCATCTTAGGAAGACTATTTACTGGTCTAACCAAAGTGCCCTCTTAAGTCTTGATTTCTACGGAACGGATTTGATTGTCATGACCAGCTATTTCTTTGGTGAATCTTCCCAACGGCCATTTCTTTCGGAACTTACTGTCAGGAAGAGCTACTACATCATAGGTTCAGATCCGGCTCGAAGGACCACTGTTACAACCCACAATATTATATCTTAGAAGATTGTTACTAATGATTGAATCGATAAACTATCTAAAACTTTTATTCAGATCACTGTCATCGATCTGACAATAATTCAAAAAATTCTAATGACATCCATCACTCTCAGTTTCAATAACAAAAAAATACAGGATGCTAAATTATTTCAATATTCAACACACCCTGTATGGCTTGTGCTTGTGCCTTGTATCCTATAAATAGACACAGTTATGCATATTCTGATTGAGTTATCTTGAGTTTCCCAAAACAGTAGGAGCGAAAAAAGTTTTCGAGATATCGATTGTGAGAAACAAATTTCTTTCACCCTGTATGGTTGTGCTGTAGTTATGATGCTTTAAATATGCAGGAATGTTTCATGTTTCTCGTTTCGACCATGTTGCATCTTTATTATTTTTTGCCGTGTGTACCTGATGTCGCTCTCAAAGAGTCTAATTGTGACTTCTGATAATTTGCCAAGACTCACTTTGACAAACAACAAGGGCACATCAAAAGGAAGCGGCGTCGAATTCCTCATAAAATTAGTCAAATTGCATTTTCAATGAACATGACTAATGATTTTGCAAAAACTCGTGGAATTGAAGATTTGGTAGGTAATGAAAAAGGTAATTCATCGATTTGTAGGTTACTCTTCATTTATAGTTACTTCTATCAACAACAGTATAGAGATAATTAGCTATAACCCAATTATGAGAAATAGTTCTTCTATTTTGTATTTTTTTGTGGGTGATAAAAAAATATCATAGTCGAGGAGGTGGTACATTCATTATTCCAGTTTTTTTTATTTTCAGTGGAAGCGATAAAAAACTTCCAGCTACAGATGCGATACAGATGAGTTATTGCCAACGAAGTCCTAAGAAAGGTCCGAGAAGCACTACACGGGAATTATTGAATGGTGTAATAGTAAAAAGTGAAAACACCAAATAAAGAAGAAGTGTTTTAGGCTCATCTCCTAGAAATGTCTAAAATCTAGAGACTAAACACTATGGGCATGCTGGCTTCCGTAATAAGCTCACCTACATAATGCTGAGTTATATAATAATAAACTTTCAACACGTTAAAAATCATAAAAACTATAGAAATATAGGATACAAAAAAAAACATATAAAACTATGTACAGGGTGGCCCACTTATGCTCGCTCGGACCATAGCTGCTAGGCTGATAGAGATAGAAAGAAAATTTCATCGGAAGTTATTGAAGACTTCATAAGCTACTCTTCAAAATTATTTTCTAGTACACAGGGTGCACCATGAATCCGGGGTGAAAGAATCGATCGTTTTTTTAAATGGCACACCCTGTATATTATTTCATTTTCGGAATCTCTCACATGTGGGCTTCACAAACCTATTTTGTTTTCGAAGATCAGATGCGACGTTGTCAAGTTATTAACATTTTAATCAAATTTGACGAGAAAACATGAATGTTGAAAAATATTCAGGGAAACTATATTTTCGAAGATTAATGAACAAAACTGGGTATACAGATACTGGAAGTATGTGTAGAAATTCAGACATTATTTTGGTTCACTCGAAATATACATGGTGTTTTAAATTAAGGACCTAATTTCGCTATTTCCAAATCGCCGAAACTCATTTTTTCCAAATGGATCACCCTGTATATCATTTCATAGTTTGAAAGCTCATCCAATGGGCTTTTCGGTGATACCATATAGACCGTATCCAACGATACTCTTCGATAGGTAAATAACGATAAATTAATTCAACTGTACATTTTTATTCAAAAACAATAACAAACATAGAGAAACTTCAACTGACAATGAGAAATGTTCAAACTCATGGAACATATCAGTTCATGAAATGTTCAAAATGTCTTTCATTCTGCTGGATACATTTTTGAGCTCGATGTTTAATCAAATTCCTTACTTTTGACAACATTTCTGGTGTTATATTTGCAGAAGTTTCCCTTATCCTCATCTTCATGTTTTTTTCGTTGTTACTTCGGTTGAAATATAATTGATGAATCTTGTTGTAGAAACTGTCAAGACGTTTTCAGTGATTGCTTTTCATTCATCTCGAAAGAGTTATAAACAATAATTATCCACGTGAATTGAGCTATCTAAATAAAACAATCAAAGATTGACTTCGAAAAACATATTCAATGAAAAAAGACACTTCAAGCACCTCATCGAAGAGGATTTCTTTCAAATTCAATCCATTCAAATACTTTGAATCATAAATATTTTTAATATACGTTCGTAAATGTTTTTGATTGAAAAAAGTATGATTTCGTTGTTATTCGCCTATCGAAGAGTAACGTTGGATACGGTCTATATGGTATCACCAAAAAGCCTATTTGATGAGGTTTCAGATTATGAAATAATATACAGGGTGATCCATTTGAAAGAAATGACTTTCGGCGATTTGAAAATAGCGAAATTCGGTCCTTATTTTAAAACACCCTGTATATTTTGAGTGAATCCAAATAATGTCTGGATTTCTACACATACTTTTGGTAACTGTATACCCAGTTTTGTTCATAAATCTTCCAAAATAAAGTTTCCCTGAATATTTTTCAACATTCATGTTTTCTCGTCAAATTTGATTAAAATGTTAATAACTTGACAACGTCGCATCTGATCTTCAAAAACAAAATAGTTTTGTGAAGCCCACATGAGAGAGATTTCGAAAATGAAATAATATACAGGGTGTGCCATTTAAAAAAACGATCGATTCTTTCACCCCGGATTCATGATGCACCC